CCTTAACGGGGGTTATATAAGGATTCTATTGGGGAGTATTATCGTGCTTATTAAGGGGGATACCAGGAATGATTATGACTCACATAAGCCCTAACCCTAGGGGTCCAACGACCCAAAACTCAATGGTATTTGGGCCCTAAAACTCTATATGGTTTGGGTCTTTGGACCCTTAGGGTAGGCCTGAATCGCTACATTGGGGATCAGGTTTACGGCGTACGCAAGGGCTCCCATGTATTTTCTTTTTTGAGTTTGTTATCATTTTTTGTAAGAGGTTCAAGTATACCACCAGGAAACGAACTAAATAGGAGGCTCTGCTTAGGGTTCAGGTCCTAGAGCGCAGGCTTTCGGGTTAGGGTTCACACTTACTGGGTTGCTAAGCCGAAACGTAAGTAAGTCACCATACTAAGGAACACCTTTTTTTTTTTTTGCTATAGACCCATCTTATGGCAACTTACTTTCAAATCCTTAACAGCAACCCAGTTTCGGGCTTGAGCCTCAGGTTAGGGGTGCAAGATGTAAGGTGTTAGGTGTTCGGACGCGAACACCCGGGCGGTGCAGACCTTGGAGTTAGTGCCAGGTTGCAAGGTAGGTCTGTGTATGTGTTCTTTTTTGTTTAGGGTTTACGCGGTTTAAGGTTTGGTGTCGTTCGCTTGTGTGTTGAACTGCGAATACGATAAAGTTAGCCTCTGAGTGAAACCCCAAATCCCACGCCCAAAGCTCAAGACACACAACCCGAATCCTACATAGTTAGTCTTACCTAAAGTGAGGATTTCTCAAAACTAGAAGCACCTCTTAATTTGGGGGTCTCTATAATCAAAATTATAACATTTTTGGGTCTACATTGGGGTCCACCTGTTTAGGCAAACTGCCAAATGGATAATGATGAGTGAGGTAGTTGCAGGGCCTCCAAAATTTGCTGGGAACTTTCGATCTCCCACTTACAACCCGACTGCAAACCTACGTCTTAAGCCTGCAAGTATGATGTCTCCAGGAGCCCTAAACCCCAAAGGTTTAAGGACCCAAATAATAGGGTTTTAGGGCCCAAATACCATTAACATTCATGGTAATTGGGCCTAAAGCCCTATTATTCGGGTCCTTGGACCCTTAGGGTAGACACTACACCTTAAACCCTAATGGCCGAGGGACACCACTCGTGGCCGGGCTCTGCTGACCACTCAGCAGGCGCGTAGCCCTCCGCGGTGACTTTCGGTGCCTTGTTCTGCACAAACTGGAGGTCATCACCTGTCCGAGAGGCAGATATAAAATAATATATAACTGGTTTAGGGACTAGGGTTTCTCAAAGGGGTACTATTTTGGGGGTCCTTATAAAAAGGATTATAGTACATTGGGGTCTATGTTGGGGGGTCCCCCTATTTAGGGAAACTACCAGATAACACACACATATACTTGATTCTGTGAGAAAATATCTGGGATTTTTTTTGGGCCATAAGTATATACCCCTAGGGTTAACGGTCCAAGTACCCAATATTAGGGCGTTAGATGCCAAATGTCGCTCAGATAGTAAATGATTGATGAGTGCCGTAAGACCTACAGCCCCACTGTCTGAGTACTTAGACCTTTGAGGAAGGAACTACGCAGATAAACATGAAGGGGTCGCGGCTCGAACAGTCGATGTGCATGTTCACAATGCGCAAGAGGCAGGGTTACGCATATGCTTGTCTAGGTTATCACCAGCTTGAGGGCCTCAACTCTAATCATTTGTACGTGGTTTTAGGGTTTAGGGTGTAGAGAGCACCAAGCAGCCAATGAAAGGGATCCATTGGCCCTGCCTTGAGGACACCTCCACTAAATTAGGCGGCCGCACCTTGCACCTACATACCTAAGCTGCAGCATTTCTATCCAGTCCCTCGCAGCAGTGTCTGCTCGTTACAACTATTATAGAACCCCTATAGTACGAGATCCATGATGGCTTTGTGGTCCTAGAAAATCCTGAGGTCCCTAAGGCCTGTATTTTGAGAAGCCCTATGACCAGGGTCGATATTAGGACTCCCAAGCAGGGACACCAACTTATGACACGCCCCCATGTAAGCTACAGTCTAAACTCTCAGTATCCCCCTTAATAACCCTATAATACTCCCCTATACAATCCATTAGATAATTCCCTCTAAGGAGTTTAGACTATAGCTCATGTGGCCTGTGCCAAGGTCCGGATATTTGGACAGCGCCGACAGGGTATCCGCAGAGGTGGAGAACGAGTTCATCAGCCTTGGGGGGGGGGGCGTAATGATTAAGTTGTAGGGTTTAGAATTGTTTTTTGAGGGTTTAGGGTTTAGCGTTGAGGGTAACGTTTAGGTCAATCCCCCTCCCAGTGATGAGTACCACAGGGGACTATTGTAGGTAAATTAAGGCCCTCTGAACTCCATATTCAGGAGCTATTACAAAAGCGGGGATTGACCTAAGCTAAGGTCTGGAATTGACGGGTTTAGGGGTTTAGGGCTTGTGGGTTTTGAGGTTCTAGGGTTTGGGGTAGTCAAGCTTTAGGGTTTAGGTCCTTCCTGCAAACACTAATAACCTCCTACACCTAGATTGACCTAGATTTCTTGGGGAGGGATGCAAAATGGCAGCCGGCTCGCAAAAAAGTACCCATGCATGACACTGACCTCATAAAGGAATAAGAAAAAGGCGAACACAAGTGCTACAGCTAAACTCTAGACCCCAACCTCTACACTCACAATCTAGCATAAAAGCCCTGGCATTTCCCAAAATGGCTGGGTTGTTGTGGTGCGATTGACATAATCATGTCCATTCCGTCTTTCCATTCTACCTGCCCTAAACACTCACTCAACCCAAAGCCCTCCCCTCAATCTAAACCCCTTTAAAACTTGGATTTTTGTGACATTTTCCATTCCAGTCTCCAACTAACCCTAAACCCTAAACCCTGAAACCTAAACCATAAACCCTAAACCCTGAAACCTAGGAGCATGAACTTCAGATCCGGCATGCTGTAGGTTCCTTTCATCCAGGCTACCTGGAAG